CCCGGGTCTTCTGCAATACCAGCCAGTGTTCTTAACGGCTCAGCCATCTCTCCAGCCCCCATGACCTAGCTTTTTCAAATAGGAAATTATATATTTTTCCAAAATAATTAAAACCATTTGCTACTAAGTCATGAATAGGGGAAAATTTAGAACAGAAAGAACAGAATAAAATCAAATTAGCTTCAAAATTGCTGGCACACTGAACCAGCACAGCGGGAACTTTTTCTGCTCCTCAAGGATGTCACTGGTCAGAGCCTTCTTCTTGCAGGCTTCATAGGCTTCCACCCCATAACTGAAGACTTTAGGATTAGAGAGAGCACCTAAGGAGGAAGAGGCCAATGTTCTCACTCTCAGGTGAGTGTCCCCAGCTTATCCTAATCATCCAAGACTGCTATGTGGCCTGGATTCCTCAAAGCCTTGGGCATTTGCTATGATCTGACCAGAAGCCCAGCCCTGGGGCAGCATAAGGAAAGAGAAAACCTGAGCGAGCCACACTGCAGAAGGCTTCTACTTACTAGGAGCTATACTCTTTTAAAAGGACTGAAGTGAATCTGACTGTACCGATATTAGCCAGTCTTTTAAAAGGACTGAAGTGAATCTGACTGTACTGATAGAGATATATACCCATGGAATGGTTGCTTTTAAAAGCACATTGTAAAACAGTATGTGCAGTATGATCCCATGTGTGGCATTTTTATCATGAGAAACACATTTATATATAGACATTTCGAGAATGATACTCAAAAGTTGTGAAATCTTACATGAAATAAAAGCCACCATAAGCAAAATCAAAACAAAAAATGCAATTTATGTCCCATACTGTAGGCTAATTTTAATATATAAAGAGGCATTTAAAACCACTAGCCTTACATAATAGAAAAATGAGCAAGGGATTTGAATGGGTAATTCATAAGAAAGAGAACTTGCAATATTTTATTAAAATATCAACAAATGAATATTAAACAGTTAACAGTAAAATCACTTATAATGAGAAAAGGACAATTTAGAACTCTATTGGGATTAGACTAAAGGCCATTTGTGTTATATTCTGCCAAAGAATCTACTGTATTTTATGTATACTCTGATACTGTCAGAGGCCAAGTTTAAAAGGTGACAGACTCATTAATCTGGGGAGAAATTTCAAAACAGCCCAGCACTCAGGCTGTTGGCATGGTTATTACTAGATGCTTTTATTTCTAGTGAGAACCAAGAGCAAAAAGCATAGCAGAAAGACTTGAAAAACTTACAATTAGGTCAGAAAATTACATGTAAAGTTGTGGCTAAGGAAGACTTGGTTTCTTAAGAGATTGGTGCCTACTTTTTGTCAAGACAGTAGGCATCTCAGGAATTGGCCAGAGCCCTCCCACCTTAGAAAGGTTTTTCCTTTGAGAAGAATCTGCCTCTGGGTCATCCTAATTATATGGAAAAGCTAGGAAGCTGTTTCCACAGAATTTGACTTTACGCAGGCTCTTGGGCACTTAGAAGCCACTGTAGTGACTATCCAAGGGAACCCAGACACTACTCTGAAACTGTGAACCCAAATAAATTTCAAGTTGCTTGTGTTAGGTATTTTGTCAGTGATGAGAAAACACAAACTTCAAACTTGTTTACATAGCACAGATATCTCAGAAAAAAAATACATTTATACATATGAACCAGAACCCGTCTACTTTACAGGCAGAGAAATTAGGTAGCTAGGAGACAGGGATGGAAGAGAGACAGGCATTGTGGGCTCTTTTCACCTGAGATTTGCATATTATGGGAAACAATTAGATATTCATGACATTTTAAAAAATTATAAAACAAAATTTTAAAAAAAGATGATTTTATGCCAAGACTTACCAGTGATATCGTTTCTTGTAGTCCTTGGCTCAAAGTTCATGGCATATAAATCAGACACAGTGACTATGCAGCCCTGTTTGCTCAGTTCATCAATAGCCACTTTCTTCAGGGACCCATTGAAGGACTTGGGTTCTTGGTGTGCATAGACGATGAGCACTTTCTTGCCTGTATCAAGGGAAGAGATGTTTTCTACTGACGAACAATTTCTTTTTGTCAAAATTCAACAAAGACCAAGATAAAAATTGATGTGTAGGCACATCAGTGCATTGAACCATCCTTTTTAATGGGTGATAACTTTTATTTATTTTTTGTGTGTATGTGTAAGCCTATGTGAGTCTATTTGTACCATATACGTGCAGGTGCTTGTGGAGGTCAGAAAAGGGCATTGGGATTACCTGAAACTGAAGTTACATAAGGTTATAAGCCACCTATGTGGGTATTGTGAGCAAATCCAGGTCCTCTGCAAGAACAGTAAATGCTCTTAACTCCTAAGCCATCTCTCCAATATCACTGGGTGATAATTTTTAAATACTGATATTTTGGGGGCTGGAGAGATGGCTTGGGGTTAAGAGCACTGGCTGGCATTCCAGAAGACCCAAATTCAATTCCTAGTTCCCACATGGTGCTAACAACCATCCATAACTCCAGTTCCAGGGGATCCGACATCTCTTCTGACCATTGTAAGCATTGCATGACACAGATGCACTTACATGCAGGTAATACACTCATAATAAAATATAAATAAAATTTGATATTATAGCTTGTTATTACTCAGGTTGAGTATCTTCTAATTTATACCAGAACTAGAAGTGACCTGGAGTTTGGATTTCTTTCAGATTTTAGAATATTTGTATAGATTTTATAGGCCACATCCCCCTAATTTGAAAACTCAAAATTGTAAATGCTCGAGTCCAATATTCTTGATTCTAGAGATCTGGGAATCATGTTCTCAAAACTATATCTCTCGATAAGGGATACTCAGCCTATACATATAAATAATCATGGGGGCTGGAGAGATGGCTCAGTTGTTAAGAACACTGGTTGTTCTTGCAGAAGACCTGGGTTTGAATCCCAGCATCCACATGGCAGCTAACTCCAGTCCATAACTCCAGTTCCAGGGGATCTGACAGCCTTTTCTGTCCTCTGTGGACATTACATAACACGGGTGCACTTACCTACATGCAGGCACTACACTCCACAAAAACCAACTATACCCTCAAAAAGCTTGCTCTCATCTGGATAGCATCTATGACAAGTTCTAGCCTTGCTCTCTAACATAAAAATACATTTTAAAAAACTAAAATGAAGCTGGGCATGGTGGCACATGCCTTTAATCCCAGCACTCATAAGGCAGAGGCAGGCGGATCTCTGTGAGTTCAAGGCCAGCCTGGTCTACATAGTGAGTTCTAGGACAGCTGGGGCTACAGGGAGACCCTGTCTCAAAAAGACCAAAAAAAAAAAAAAAAACCTAAAATGAATCTCTTACACCTACATTGGCAGGCAGCAGCTCTGGCACCTTTCAGTCTGGCATAGTCTGTTTCTCTCTCCCCCAAGTCCATGGAAACCTGACACTTAAACATGATAGAGCAAATTAGACCTTCTGTTCTTGGGAGAGGCAGGGTCATGTACAACCCATCTTCTGATGGTGACACAGAGAGACGATTCTAAGAGCAGGTCCTGAAGACACTAGCTGTATTGAACATCTCTGATGCAGTGAAGTACCCCCTTGTTCAGAAGAGTCTTGATATGGTGGATTGAGATATTCTGGAATGAAGTTTGGTGATTTGCCTTGGAAAATGTTAAACTTGGGCTGAGGAAATGGTTCAGTGTAAGCATGAGGACCTGAGTTTGGATCCCAGCACCCACAAAAAAGCCAGGTGTGATGGTACATGTCTGTAATCCCAACATTTGTGGATGTGGAAACAGGTGGATTCTTGGGGCTCACTGGCCAGCCAGTAGTTGAAATAGCGATGTCCATGTTCAATGACAGACCTGTCTTCTGTCTTAAAAAGACCAAAAAATTTTAAAAAGGTAAATAAATAAAAAAATAAGGCAGAGAAACAGGTGAGGAACTATCCCAACATTAACAACATTAATATCTGGCTGCCTCATGTGCCTGCAGGGGCAAGTACAACTACACACACACACACACACACACATACACACACACACAACACAGACATTGCACAAATGGGTGCACTTATAAGATGCAACACACACACACACAAACACACACACACACACACAAACACACACACACAAACACACACACACAAACACGCACACACACACACAAACACACACACACACGCATGCACAGAGTAAAAGCTCTTGTGTTATGTGTGTGTACATGCAGATGTGAGGACATATATGTATACATGTGTGTAGAGGTCAAAGGTGGATGTCAGGTGTCTTCTTCGTGACTGCCTTAGTATTTTTTTAAAATAAAGTTGGTTGGGTTTTTTTTTTTTTTTTAAAGATTCTTTTTATTTTTTTTATGGGTTGTGCTGGATAGCTTTAGTGTCAACTTGACCCACCTGGGGTGAGGGAGCCTCAGTTGGGGAATTGCCTCTATTGGACTGGCCTGTGGCCATGTCTGAGGGGCATCTTCTTGATGAGTGATGTGGGAGGGCCCAGCCCACTGTGGGTGGTGCCATCCCTGGGCAGGTGGGCCTGTGTTGCATAAGAAAGAAGGCTGAGCAAGCCCCGGGCCAGGGAGCAAGCCAGTAAGCAGTGTTCCTCCATGGCCTGTGCTCTAGCTCCTGACTCCAGGTTCCTGCCCTGAGTTCCTACCTTGGGCTCCTGGATGAACCCGGGAGATGTAAGACAAATAAACCCTTTCCTCCGCAAGTTGTTAGTGGTCAGAGTGTTTTGTCACAGCAATGGAGAAACAAACCAGAACATGGGTTTTGAGTGTGTGTGTGCCTGCAAGGGTTTATGTGCACCACATGCTGCAGGAGCTCATAGAGGCCAGAAGAAGGCATCAGATCTCTTGGAACTGGACTTACAAGCAGTCATGAGCCATCATATGGGTTCTGAGAACCAAACTTAGGTCTTCTGAAAGAGCACCAAGTGCTCTTAACTGCTGAGCCATCTCTCCTGTCCTCTACCTTAGTTTCTGAAATGGTTGCTCATTGACCTGATTCAGCTGGATTGGCTGGCCAGCAACCTCCAGGAACCTGCCTCTCTATGTGTGATGGGGTTACAAAACAAGTGCTGCTATGCCCAGCTTTTATGTGTATGTTAGGGATCTAAACTCAGGTCCTCGTGCTTTCTCGGCAAGCACTCACCAACTGACCCACCTCCATAGCACTAAAACATTAAACTCTTGATTTAAACTTTTTCAGTCTAAGACTGAGAAGAAAACACATTTTACTTGAAACAAACAATTTTAGTGCATTCAGCTGAGTGTAAAGATTGAATTTGATGTTGGGTTAATTATTAGGTTCTATTTTATTCTCATTTCCAATGCTATGAAGAAGCTGTACTTGGGGATATAACAGGAGAGTGGTTCCAAATAAAACACCTACACAGTGTTTCTCAACTAGGGGCAGCATTACCAGCCAGGGGATATCTGTCAAAGGTGGAGATATTTCTACTTGTCTCAACTGGTTGAGGAGGGACTGCTTCTGGTATCTAATGGTACCCAGGGATATGGCTAAACATCCTACAGGGCATAGGGCACCCTGGACAACTGGTCTGATCTCAAACATCAGTAGTTTGATTGGGTTGAAAAATCCAATACAGTACAAGGTATAGCTCAGTAGGTAGAGTGCTTGTCTAGCAAGTGCCAAAAAAAAAAAAAAAGCAAAAAAGTAAAAGAAAAATCCAAATCTACATTATAGTATGTGCAATATCTAAGGTTGAAAGAATTTCAATATTACCTAGTGAAAAAAAATGAGTTTCAAAATTATGTGTCTGTGTTAACTGCTTGTATGTAATAAACAGATAAAAGCAAAGAAGGGATGCGTGTGGCTCAGCAGTAAAGCATATGCTTATTATGCATGAGGCCCTGGGCTTGGTCCCCAGTACTACAGAAGGAGAAAAAGAGAAACTAAAGCTGAAATCAATCTGTGGTTTAAAAGAGGGGCTCATTTGCTCAGTGCTCTTTTTGAGGATTTACTTTGTCCCAAGGACGGCTTCTAGGCAAAGACAGGGCAGGCATGTACTCTACTTTTGGGAAAACTTAAATTCTGAAGGAGGTTGAAATGACAGTAAAACATTTAAAACAAGATCATTACAGACAGTGATCTATGTCATAAAGCAGCGGTTTATACACTTCCATATTGCTGAATTTTCAATAACAAGTGATATAATCAATTTCTGACTAAATGTCTAATTCCACCTATAACAATAATAATTCCTTACCTGCCATGTTGGAGGAAGATGGACTCTTTTATTTGGTGTGGCAGTCCGAGGTTTCAGGTACTGTCACTCTCCTTGGTGACTCTAACACTCTGGAAGAGAAAAACTCAAAGGAGGCATGGAGGTTGAGGTGAAGCCAGTGTACACGTCTAGGCCCCACGGTGGCTGCTTCATGAAGAGCATGCCAACACATCAGAACAGCAGCTTCTGGGGGTGGTGGTGAAGCATCATTTGGAGGATATTAACTATGTACCATGTCAAACCAATGCTTTTTTGTGTTTTATGGGAGGACTTGAACGTTCCATGAAGGCAGCTACAGAGAAGAGCTCCTGGGAAATGAGCCACAGACAAGAAATATGAGTGGTCCTCAGGCTTCCTGTGCCCCAAGATTTCCTGTTAAGCTAGTAAGCGAGACAAAGGCTTGTACTGGGAAAGTCAAGGGGGTATCATTGAACATTACTGGGTCTTTTCTCAACTGTAAATAAGGCTGGTTGGTTTAGATCTGGTTTCTAACCAGAGATCCCCAGAGTTCCCTTAGTGAGAAACCTAGGCCAGTGGTAGAACATGCATATAATCCTGGATTAGGAGTTCAAAGTCATCCTTGGCTACCTAGAAGGAGTTTGAGGCTCTTGGGCTACTTGAGACAGCCTCATTTGGCCACCCATTTGGTCCACGGAAGCTTTATTCACAGCAGCCAGGTGGTGAGAACACAAAGGTGAGCAAAATAACTGAGAACAGCTTTATACTTTTTGAGGGGGATAATAAACAGTCAACAAGCAGGCAAAGCAAGCAAAGCGCTCTAGACAATGTCAGTGCTACTGATGATGGTAATAGTGATGGTGCAAAGAAAATAAAGTACTTCTCTGATGAAAGAGCAGGGGCATGCCTGGCACTTTAAATAGAAGATGAATCAGTGTTACCATGCTCTTACTGCATGCTGCTCTACAGGCAAGCCAGGCAGCAGAAACTGGTGGAAGGAAATGGATGTTTACTCAAGGAGAGACTTGAGGAAAATGGAGGCAACTTTCTGTTTTAAACCTTCATCTTGGTGGTAGTGGTAGTGCTTAGTTTGAGGGCTTTTAGAGGATGCCGAGCATTATATGTGGGAGATCGCCTTGCTAGGTGAAATCTTCCTCAGACCACAGTCTCTCTCATCCTTCAAAGTTGACCGTGACTTCCTGGGGAGTCCGTACCAGTTTTCTTTTCAGGCAAGTATCATTTTAAGGTTCCTCTTTACAGGGAAAGGGATGGATGGTTAAGTTTTAGGGATTAGAGAAGGAAGACAGAAGTATCAGGTTCCTCCCACTGTTTTCACTGCATGGCCTGCATTTCTAAGCAGATCAAAGCGGAAGCTAACTCATCTCTCTGGCAAAACACTAGTCAGACGACTTTCTCAAATCTCACAGAGTCACTAAACATCAAGTGGATATCAATCACAAGTCCACATTTCCTCTGCCTGCTCTGTTATAAAAGGGGTCTCCCAAACAGTGAGTGAATAGTGAAATAAGCCACCCATGTAAAAACCTGGGGTAAAAAAAGAAGTCCAGGCAGGCAGAGAAGCAAGGATCTAGTGGGAACTGACCTGATGACTGAGGTTTGAAAGAGGTGAGTGTTAGGGGATGCCATCAGGGACCTGGGTGAGGAACAACCAAGCAAGCAGAGCAGAGTGAAGATTTTATCCTAAGCCTAACAGAAGACCTAAGCAGGAAAGCTGTACAGCCTTGATATACCTTTTCAAAGGGTCACTACAGACTTGCAACATACATCCTGAGATTCTCCAAGTGAGGGCCCAGAGTCATCCTGGTTCGGACCAAATGCTTCATTGGAATGCCTATAGACATGCTGTCCTAGTTTGCTTTCTGTTGCTATGATAAACACCATGACCAAAAGCAACTTACTTTATTTTAGCTTACAGGTGTCCATCATAGACAGAAGCCAAGGCAGGATCTTGAAGCAGAAACCAACAGATGAAAGCTGCTTACTGGCTTGCTCCCTCTGTCTTGCTCAGCTATCTTTCTTAAATGGCCCACACCCACCTGCCTAGGAATGGCACTGCCCACAGTGGGTGGGGCCCTCTTACATTAATTAACAAGAAAATGCCTTGCTGGAGAGATGGCTCAGCAGTTAAGAACACTGGCTGGTCTTGCAGAAGACCCAGGTTTGAATCTCAGCACCACATGGCAGCTAACAACTGTCTGTAACTCCAGTTCCAGAGGATCCAACGGCCTCTTCTGTCTTCCTCGGGCATTGCATGACACGGGTGTACTTACATGCATGCATGCAGGCAATACAAACATGCACATAAAAATAAAATTTAAAAAAAGACTCTGTTTCCTTGTGGGCTGGTGAGATGGCCCAGCAGTTAAGAACACGGACTGTTCTTGCGGAAGACCCAAGTTCAAATCCCAGCACCCACATGGCAGCTAACAACTGTCTGTAACTCCAGTTCCAGAGGATCCAACAGCCTCTTCTGTCTTCTGTGGGCATTGTAGGACACAGGTGCATTTACCTACATGCAGGCAATACACGCTTACACCATAAAATAAAAATAATAAAATAAATTTTAAGAAAGAAAGAAAGAAACCAGGCATGGTGGCACACACCTGTAGTCCCAGCACTTGGGAGGCAGAGGCAGGTGGATCTCTGTGAGTTCAAGGCCAGCCTGGTCTACATAGACATAGTGAGTTCCATGACAGCTCGTGTCTCTAAAAAAAAAAAAAAAAAAAAAAAAGAAAATGCTTCACAGACATGGTCACAGGCCAAGCTGATCTAGGCAAGTTTTTGGTTGGTGTTTTCCCTTGCCAGGTTTGTGTCAAGTGGACTGCTGAAACTAGCTATGAAGTCCACTCTACACTCTTCAGGGTCTCCAACCTCATACTCCCATCATCACTTGGCCAAGTTTACATTAAAAAAAAAAAAAAAAAAAAAAAAGAAAATGCTTCACAGACATGGTCACAGGCCAAGCTGATCTAGGCAAGTTTTTGGTTGGTGTTTTCCCTTGCCAGGTTTGTGTCAAGTGGACTGCTGAAACTAGCTATGAAGTCCACTCTACACTCTTCAGGGTCTCCAACCTCATACTCCCATCATCACTTGGCCAAGTTTACATTTACAGTATGTTCCCGGCTGTCTGACAGTTACTCTTGGCCTTGGAGTTGGATTTTCTTGTAGGTAACTCTCCTAGAGGCATAGTATAGGAAACAGGAACATAGGCAGCTCCAACGCAGGCTCTTCACCCTCAGCCATGTACCTTAGCCCATCCACAGCAGTAAGTGTCCTTAGTTGGGAACAGTGTGGTTACCCAATGGTGGAGGGGGGAGGCCATGTGGATACAACATGATGAGTTGGGCTCTGATATTTAGAGATAAAGGTAATTTGTTTTCACATCCAGCAGCAATTTTGAAATTTTTACTGTATCACTTCCTGTGCCTCTTTCCACACAGTTAAGCCCCATGCTGGTCATTCTCACAGCCGGCATGTCACCGTGTAACGACATCACTGCCTGCCTGCTTGCCTTCTCTTCTATGCCCATTTCCCTATCCTAGGGTACTTAGGTTATTTCCTCTCATAACTACAGATACCTCGCTCTACTGGAGGCTTGTATGATTTGCACAGCTCAGTCTCCTGTATTTCCCTGGCTGAAATTTACAGAGATTAGAGGTTACTGAAACCGATGTTTTCAGATTAATGGTTATAGAAGCTGATTCTTTTGTGCCAGCGACTTGAAGGAGCCTGGGTAAGGGATGGCACCTTGTACACTCTTCTTGGCTCCCTTTTGCCTTTGCCCTTTGGTTATATGCAGAGACCAGCAGCTGCGCTACCGGATGAGGGTTGGTGAAATGGGATTATCACTTGGGCCTAACATGTAGTAGCGCCTGATACTTTCAAAAAAGACTCAAGGTGCGCGGATCCACGGACACAAGCCCGCAGTCTAGCCGGCAAGCGACAACACAGAAGAGACCTCTTCAGTCCTGCAGCCTACCCCCAGCCCCAGGCCCCAACGTGTGACGTGCATCTTCCCGATAGCGCACGCCCCAGACTGTACCTCGTTCTCAGGGACGGACGCGCGACCGTGCCAGGTTCAGAGCCTCTAATTCCTAAAAGCCTGCCTTCCGTCCGGGGCGCCGGAACCTTGGAGTCCGGGCCACTTCCGCCACCGGATCCCACCCCCAGGCTCGGCCCCGCCCCCACCCGCCCACATAGTCCCTCGGCTGCCCGCAGGGCCACCCCCCCACCTCGGGGGCAGGACAAGTTTGGCTCCTTGCTGATGGAGACTGGGCTGGAAGCCTGTGCTGGGAGACGGGGAGAGGTGCCCTCCTGCCCAGGGCCTTCTCCCACATCCACTGCATAGATCCAGTTAAAACAACAAAACGCCCAGTGTACCACTAGCAGTCAAACGGGATGAGACTGTGGAGAAACCTGGCTTAAATATCCAGGAAATCTCCCCAGAGTGACAAAAAAGCCAGTGCTAAAAGGTTATGCGCTCTATGATTTCGGCTCCTGAAAGAGCCAGTTACAGCAAAGGGGAGCAGATAGGTGGGTGCCGGGGTTTAGGGAGGAACCAACTAGCTTTAAAAAATAATTTTTTCTGATGAGGAACACGCTCTTTGCTGCTGTGTCAGTGTCTCTCAACTGGTTGTATGGTGCTTCTGCCAGATGTCGTCGCTGGGGGGAACCTGGGAAAAGGACATACGGGTCAAAATAAAATGACTAATTAAAATAGTTAAAGGTCAAGAACATCCCTTAGAAAGTGGAAAGTCTTGGAACCAGTGCTGTGGGGAAGGTGGGGGAAAAGGGGCTGGTGACCAGTTTAGGCTAATCCCTGCTTTTCCTAGGCCACTCTGGTTTGTGCCATGGGCAATCCATTTGCCATTTAATTTCCCCAAGGCCCCTCCCCAAGCCCTTTGCTTTAGTTACTGGTGTCCCGGAATGGCCCTTTGCAAACATCAAAAATCACACTTGGTGGGCCTGCCTGCTCTCCCAGTTCTAGGCAGGAGGATCACAAGTTCTCCGTCAGCCTGGCCTAAGTGAGACCGTATGTCAAAAAATTAAAACCAAAATCAAAACCAAGTCAAAACATAAAAAATAAACAATAGAGCAGAAGGGAGTTTCTGCCTGTGTTCAGAATGCTCCCAGTGAAAAGAACCAGCTGAGCCTGCACCTTGATGTTGCTGTGGCTTTTCTGCTTAGAGTCACAGTTTGGTTTTTGTTTTTTCTTTGTTGTTGTTGGTTTTTGGTTTTTTGTGGGTTTTTTTTTTTTTTTTTTTTTTTGGGGGGGGGAGGGGGTTTTTTTTTTTTTTTTTTTTTTGGTGGATATTTTTGGTTTGTTTTTTGTTTCTTTGATGGTGGGGAGACAGGATGTTGTTCTTGTTCGTTTTCTGGCTGGTCTCTCTGCTGCTATTTTCTTTGTATTCAGAGGTGGGATATCTGTTTCCCAGAGATGTCTTCATGCCCTTGCCTCTCCAGCAGGGAGGAGGGCACCTGTGAATCCTGACCCTGGAGGCAGCCTTCATTTTGTAATAGAGCTGCAGGTATCGAGTACCTCAGCACCTGCAGGATAAATGTGTGACTATAGCACAGTAGCCTCTGTCTGTGGCAAGAATTCACAGCTATAGGTTAGGTAAGCTGCTGTCCACTGGGAACTGGACACCAGAACTGCCTCTCTGGTGTTTATAATGGTGTAAGTTGGATAGTAGTCTATTCTAGAATAGTTCATAGGAGCATGTGCTCAAATGGAAATAACAGGACTTTCTGCCAGTCTGGTATTGTTTCAATTACAGCAAATAAATAAGATTACTCATATTTGTAGCCTGAGTTTGAGGTGGTGGTCATGCTTATCAAAACGAGGTGAAATAACAACCAGGACCTCAAGGGTTTTCCAGTTTCTCGCTTTTGTTAATTTATCTTTAACGCTGAAGAAATGTACAAGTAGAATTAACTAGGTGTGCTAGATGAGGAGGCAGGAAAACCAGTCACACACTCCATTGACTTCTCACCTCCTCATGATTTATTTCAGAATAAAATGGAACATTGTGGGGCTACTATAAAGCTAACCAAATTAGCCAAGCTATCTCCTAAAAAAGTTGTTGCTTTTTGTTTTATTTACTATTTCTTTCCTTTCTGTTAAAAGCATTTCTTTTCCTTTGGGAACCTGGCTCTTCCTAATAACAACCATTGATGTGTGTGTGTGCAATCAGTGGCATTTATTAGAGTTTCAAACAGCAGCAGCCTCCCCCCTCCCCAACAGGATTTTGGATTTTTCAAGTCTGAAAAAGGGAACTGAGCTGATAAGAACCTTGGCCTTTGAAGTCAAGGGAAGCAGATTTTTCTAAGAGGGAGCCTGCCTTTCCTCTGATCTCCAAAGACAAGATAAGCAGATCCTGTCTGTTAACCGAGAGTTTAGGAGCTGTTTAGTACAGCAGCTTTTCCCTTAACACTTCCTGACCCAGATCCTGGCTGGCAGACCTAACCGAGCCAGGTTTACAAGCCCTGCTTTTCCTGGCTTTTCCCGTTTGATTTTTTCCCAAAAAACTTCCTGCCTTCAGCACCCTGAAGCCCCTGTATATAAGCCCCAGCTCACAATCTGTGGGCAGACATTTTCCGCTCCCAGAAGGGAATGTGTCCCATGTGAAATAAAGCTCTATCCCACTGAGAGTTTTATCTGTGTCTTGGTGCCTCATCCTCCATTCGCTCATTCTCCACCAACTTTTTACCTATCAGTATTATATTCACAATTTTTTTAATGTGTATGAGTGTATTGCCTGCATGTGTGTAAGTGCACTCAAGTTGTGCAATGCCCGAGGAAGACAGAAGAAAGTGTCAGATCCCCTGAAACTGGAGTTTCAGATGGTTGTTAGCCACCATATGTGTGCTAGGGCTTTGGGAGATGTTTTAGATTCATAGTAAAGCAGTATCTTTCAATATACAGTAATTTTTAATTTGAGCCAGGTGTGGTGCACACCTTTGATCCCAGTACACTGGAGGTGGAGGCAAGTGGATCTCTGTGAATTTAAGGCCAGCCTGGTCTACATAGTGAGTTCCAAGCCAGCTGGAGCTACAGCGAGACCCTGTCTCAAAAAGACCAAAAAAAGATTTTTTTAAATTTGTGTGAAGCCCAGTTTATGTTGTTGTTACCTGTATTTTTGGTGTTATCTGCCCCGGCCAGCAGGGCGGGAGACGGAGACTCGAACTCCCAGGGACCTGGAATGATGGGACAAGAGACACGAAGAATGACAGCAAGACAAAGAACTCTGATCAAGCTGCCAAAGTTTATTTTTCCACGGGGATTCTTATACGGGCTGAAGTGGGAAGTTAGCTAGGGAAGAGGGAGGGAAGGTGTTGTCTCAACGGGTTAGTGAATGTCCCTAGGATGAGGGGACCTGGCGCCATGGTCTGGTTGCAGGCTAAGAAAATTGGTGGTTGTTCAAACTTATCTTAACTCATCGGAAGGGTTGCTTGTCTTAGGGGGACAGGGAGGACTGATCAGCAAGTTCTCCAGAGGATGCTTGCCCTGGGGGGCAGGGAGGGCTGCCAGGCAGCATGGTCTCCGACAGTTACCTCTAAGAAATCATTGCCAAACCCAAGATTGTGAGGAAATACTCCTATATTTGAGGAAATACTCCTATATTTGAGGAAATACTCCTATATTGGGAGGAAATACTCCTATATTGGGAGGAAATACTCCTATATTTCTTTTTAAGAGTTTTATGGTTTAGCTTTTATATTTGAGTCATTGATATTGAGTTACTTCTTATGCACGGTGTGAAGTAGGGGCCAGCCTCTTGCATGTGGAAATCCTATTGTTCCAGCATCATGCATTGAAAAAAAAAAAAAAAAAGACTCGTTTATCAAATGGATTTAGCACCCTTATCAAAAAATACTTAGCCATAAGTGTATAAGTTTACCAACTATAACTTGTATGGGAAGTGTTATATATTTCTTGCAGCTTTTAAAGATTCTCTCTTTTTTTGTTTGATGTTTTATTTTTATTGTTTGAGATAGGGTCTTGCAATGAGACCCTGGCTGGCCTGGAACTCTGTATGTAAGCTTGTCTGAGCTTGCAGCTGTCCTCTTGAGCACTGCAGGTGTGTGCTACTATATTGGCTCTTTGTATTATGACCACTTTTATTACGATAAGTCTCAGTGTTTTCTTTGAGTTTCACTCAGAGTTCATTGAGCTTTGTGGATTTGTAAATGCTTATGTTTTATCAAATTTGAGAGGCTGTAATACTAATTCTTTAAACATTCTTTGGGTCTTTTTCTCACTTTCCTCCTTAGTGGACTCCCATAACATGCAGGAGTTCACTTCATGGTGAAACCTACGCTTTCCTCAGGCTTTTTACTTTTCTTCATTCTTTTTGTCTCTGCATCTCAGACAGAATTATTTCATTTACCATGCATTGTCCAATTCTTTTGTTGAAGTCTGATAGGTGAATCAGGTCCATCAGGAGAAAGCACCAGGACACAGACAAAACTCTGGAAGGATAGAGTTTATTAGCAGAGGAAAAGTGCACAGAATAATTCTCTTCAGGATAGGGAAGTTGTCAGCCTATAGGTTGTGGGCTGGTGGTCTTTATGGGGGGCTTCAGGGAATACAGAAGGCAAGAACTTTCTTTTTTTTAAAGTTAGGTGGGAGAGAGGAAGCCCAGGGTTTATCAGAACAGCTTCTATTAAAACTGCCCCTTCCATCCCCTTCTGTCAGCCAGGATCTGGGTTATGGGGTAAGGAGTCTATACATTGTAAAGCTTATCAGGGGGAAATAGCTTGTACCAAGAAAGGTCCTACATTAATGGAACTGAAGTGCAGGCACCTGTTCTGCTTCCAAGATCATTAAAGGAGAAGCAGGCTGTCTTTGACCAAAAGGTGCAGAGTCTGCTTATCTCATCTTCAAAGACCAGGGTACACATTAACTCAGTCCCTGCATTCTCAGGGGCTTGCAAAACTGTGAGGCCTTGTTGGGGAGGGGGCTGCTGCAGATCTGAACCCTAACATTCTAGCCTTTTGTGTTATAAGATAGGGGGTGCCATTGTTGTCTTGCTACGTCCTGCTGGACAAGGTCGACATGGGTGGGCTGGATTAGGGGGTCTGTCAGACAACAGGGGTTCCCTCTTCGTGCATCTGAACAGGGTCTTCAATGGTTGACAGGCGCTCATATACATGTGGAGGGAAGGAGAG